AAAGAAATACTAAAAAACTAGGTAACTATCAGCCATTTTAAGTAGGTCATATGCTTTACAAAAGGGAAGCAAAAATAAAAAAGAAAAGTAAGAATTCAATGTGCAAGTTACAAATTACTTCCTCATTTACTATATATGAAGTCTGGGATTTTCAAATACAGTACTTGGAAGTATGCATAAACAAAGTATTATTATGGCTCAAATACATTGTTAATATTACAACAACAGTGATAACCATGCCAATACTATGGATTATGAGTAATGGAAATATACAGACAGTTTCTAAAACTACATACACTGTTATATTTTCCTGAATATAAGTGATTTAGATGCTGTCTTAAAAAATACACAAAGTTTCTAAAGCAGAGAGCACTAAGAAGTTAGCAAAACTACAAGTTAATCCATTCTCATGAAAATTCCAGAGAAGTAACAACCATCTGTATAACCCAATGCCTTGTTTTCATATATGAGCAAGGCTATGTGGATCCATAAAAATGTCACCTAGGCAGAGCTTTGAACATCTAGCATCACAACTTCTCATAAAGCCACCAAATGTGTTGTTCAGATATGATATCTAAATGACCTAATAAAAGCCAATTTCTAATGATAAAGAAAAACTAGCTTGCTATAGAAAGGCAAACAATGTTGACAGACAAAGCCTGGAGTCAAAGGAAAGAAGGATGGGCATGAATTATGAAGTTTTTTGTAGGAAATAACACAAGACCTTTTCAGTAAAAATTAGAATAGAATTTCACTTGCTTAAGAAATTGGGGGTAGAGGAGTGGGAGACATCAGGCCTTCTCCTGAGGTGAAGCATAAAGCATAACTGAATATATCATTATTCCCCCATTTTTAATATAAGATATTGATACTTGTAGTATAAGGTCAGAAGTGTTGCCTGTAACCAACTGCACTGCACTGTGACATTCTCAATCATCTGCTGAGCCTGAAGTCCCACAGCAGCTGAAGACTCTGCTGTCCAATCAGGCTTTCCAAATCGCCCCAAGAGCACATGTGTTGGTAAATACCACACTGCACGTGCTCCTCACGCATCCTTCACCCACCCTTCTCTGGCATCAGTAATCCCTTTCTTTACTAGCATGCTGACCTAATAGGCCAACAGGGCATGTCTCTCACACATGTTCTTTGCACCCAAAACAAGAAGTTAGAAAATAAATGTTTGGAAAATTATCTCAGGTTTTTCCAGGGGTAGGAGAGTTAGAGAAGTTTGAGAGGTTCCATACCAAGAAAAACTGACAGCAAGCCTTCATATTAGACTGTTTGTGTCTATCCACTAAGATTCTATAGGAATGAGAAAAGTATTCTTATCAAGAAAGTTCAAATAAAATGTTGTTTTTCAAGAATGATTCTAAAGAAGGACCCAGTGTTTGAGGTTTTCATCAGGAAATCTAAAAAAACAAGTTATAGTTCTTTAAGTGAAATAAGGGTAAGTGGCATTTCACTGTGATGTGCAGCTATGGTCCATACGACTTCAACAGTACAAATGATATTTCCTGGCATTTTGTTTTCCCTTAGAAAGGAAAATAGGAAGAAAAAATTTTACATAGTCATGAGTCATAAGGTAAAAAATGGACATATAAATAGCTGTTAGCTCAGTGTAAAGGATCCCTGAAGAAAGAGAAGGAGCCCAGGAGATGTGCACATCAAATAAAAATGGAGAATATGGCTATATTTCAGCTCAAACCAATATTCCCTTTTCAGGAATCATACCCTCTGGCTCACTGCTGACAATTCATAGAAAGCGTATGAGTGAGATGAGTTTGTAAGATGAACAGGGATGCTCCACGGCAGGTAAATAAATTTGTTTCCACTGAGATAATTATTCTTACCATGTGTCACTGCTCTCATGGCATAAACAGGACAGGTGATGACATTCTATAAAATGCAATTTTTATTCCTATACTCCTGACATCAAGATATATAACTCATTCAGCTCTCATGAATTTTTTCTTGCTCTGAAGCTATGAGTGGGTTTTTGTTATTGCTGTTCTTGGTTTTTTGCCTTTTTAAAAATTGCTATCATCAACTGTGCAATAATGTTAAGAGACTGGGAAGGGGATGGGACTGTCATTATTTTAGGGTACCCGGTCTATATATGTAGTATATATGTTATAACGTGAGATTGCTAAATATAGTTCTATTACTTGGATTTTTTAAAGGTTAGTATCTGTATTATATCATTCCCGTGCAATACTTCTATTCTCAAATCAATGCCCTGTCCCAAACCTCACATCCTTTCAGACCTAACCTAGGCAAGAAATAAGGAATCACAACCCTTTGTACCAACAAATAATTTTTCTAACCATAATTTATTAGTACCTTATTCCAAAAGCATACGAATACTTACAAGATAGTTAATCCTCATTAAAAACTAAGATTACATAACATAATTACATGTAAATAAGAAAAACAAATTAAACTCTTACCCTTTCCTATGTCGGGCACTAGTTGTGAATCATATATACAATTAGAGTTATATTGCCAAGCTAAAAATATTGGTAAAGATCTAAAAATGACAAACAGTGCCTTTTAAATTAATGTCTTATTAGTTGAGTGAAGTACACTGACAAAGAATAATTTATGCTTATTCAAACTGCACTCGACATCTTCAGGTGTTTCCAAATGAGCTCACAGAAGAGTGATTAAATGCATCTGATAACAAGCCACACATTGCTGAAATTACTTACCGCCTCATTTTATGATTAATTAAACATGTAGATTAAAGTTGCAAAAGAATTTAGATTAATGAGCAAGTTAAGTCTTGCTGATATAAGTGAGTTGGGAATTGGATGCTCTGTGGAACTTTATAAACATGCATTTTATAATGAATAAGACAAGGCTACATGCAGAATCGTGGCCGCCAGGGCCTTTTGACGATGCAGTCTTTTTTAACATGGTTTGACAGCTTTCAAATAACATTCTTCTATAGGCTTTAAACTTTGTGCTTTGCTGTAAAACACAAGACTACGTAACTCATGTACCAAGAGTACGATTATTTTCAAGCTCTCCAAGGAAATGACCCCCTGTAGCAGCAGCTGTTCAGAAAAAATTACAAACTCAATTGTTATTTTAATCAGATAGTTTCGTAGTTAAAAGCAGTTATGCAACTTGTAAAATTATATGACAGCTCATCAGTACCTTCTCTTCAACACTCCCTCCTCCAAAAGCAAAACCATCCCCAGAAAGTCATAGCTTCCAGAGGACTTATTAGCAAAGCAGGGTGCTCAGTCATTCATAAAATATTCAAAGCCATTTATTAGTGAAGTTTCTGTGCTGGGAAAGGTTATGTTTAAATTTATGACAACTCTTATCAGCTCCAAGAGTATCTCAAAATATCTGCTGGGGTTTGCTGAGTATCCAATTTTTCTCTTTTAAGATCAGCTTTACCTAATCCACATAACTTAGTCTGTGTCAAAAGCCCAGTTGGACTTGACGATTTTCCAGAGCAAGAGAAATACAGGTTGTTCACAGAGATGTAGTGCATTCTCCTTTGCAAGAAATACAGAAGTGGAGAGAAACTGAGCCAAAGTTATTAAACTAGCTTATGATTTCAAATCTATTCCTTTTTTATTACTAAGCTGATAGCGCAATGCCATTTATTAGTACCATAGCATAATAAAGACACTCTTACAAATTCTTTGAATGGATCCAATCTGCTATCTAAAATATACCTCTAATTCTTTTCTACTTATTTTCAGACCTTTTGCATGATTCATTCCTTGGCAAGGGTGAAATTTTTAAGTGTTAAATTTTTTCCCTTTCAATTTAGATTTTTTTTACACTCTAAAGCCTTACCAAGAAAACGATGGAAATTTTTACATAAGGATCAAAAGGAGCTGCTTCATGACACAGGTGGCAAATTACCATCATTAACCCCATACATTTATCATGTGGACATAATTGCCCATTTGAAGATTTATGTTAATGAAAATAATATTGAGACATAAGTCTCTGACTGTACTGAAATTCATTAAAAGTTAAAATCATTTTTATAAGCAGCCAAAACAAAAGAGTCTCCATTTGATTTGTTTATTTCAGTTTTATTAAGTCAATGTTTTTCACCGAGTAATGTAAACCACATTTTATCACCACAAAAAGTTATTTCAAATTTATAAGCTTTTCCCCTTATAGTTCAACTTGAATGTAATAGTAGGGACTTCTCAGTAAAAATATGAACCCAAATACTTCAAGGACCAAATAATATACTTTTTACTTATATGAAAATTCTAATTCCTTATTTATATCCTTCAAAAGAGGAAATCTGCCAACAAAGTGGTTATATTAGTCTGAAAGAAGCTTGGTTAGATAAATAAAAAAATTCTTTTGCAATTTTAAATGCATTTGGAATGTGCCAGAAAGGCATAGATTATTCAGAGAGCTCAACAAGCCAGCAAATTTTAAGGATCTGGATCTTTCCACTCCAATCATTACCATGTTATTTCTAGGCTCCACAAATTATGAGGCCTATCCTGGAATAACTAATAACTTAATAGAAATCATGTCATTCCTGAGGCCTTTTAATACAAAAAGATACATTTATGTCCCCATGAAAGTAATTTTTGTAAAATCACTGTAAGCCCTAAATACTAAGTATACTTAGCTATTATTTGTACTTTTTATTATAATTAGCATGTTTTAATTCTTTGATAAATGCTTTATACAGTTTACCTGCATTAAATACATAAATCTACTTGTTATTTAAAGTTAAGAGTTAAATGTTTACCTGAAACACCAAAATAGGTACTTTGCCCTGAAATTTTGAATAAATGAGCAATTTAAAATATCCCAAATCAGCCGTAATATAATATAAAAATTCCTAAACATTATTTTCATTAAATCAAGATGGCAATTTATTGTTAACATATTTTCTTTTATTTCACAACACACAGTCATGTGGGCTATGAACCTTGCATTTCTAAAGGGAGATTAATATTTTCTCTATTTCATATATGGTTGAAAGAAAGTATTAAAATACTCACCAGAGACTAAAATGAGATGACTAAATTCATTTTCAAATGTGATTGGGCCAAGGTTTGTCAAGGTGAACTACGAATGCGTTAATATCCACAATACTGCCAACTGCTGAATTATTAATATTGTCGGCTCCTCGGTTTCAGTTCATGCCCTATAGAGGAGTTTTGTGAGATCCATCAAAAACTCGGCCTCTCAACATGTTTACAAGCATCCTGGAGGCAATGTCTTAAACTAAAAATGAAGTGACTCTAACCAAGCAAACGGTCATCAAGGCCAGACTAACATTCATAAATGCAAACAACCAGTCTATAGCAAAGGGAGCAAATGAAGCCAGGTGCCACTCCATGCCAGATCCTTGACAACTCAGCACCCAACACTTGAAATACCAGGCAGAGGACTAAAGGTGGTTTCCTCATTTAGCAGGATCAGCAGCATTATGCACCACATTTATAAATTCTATGTATCACTGAAAGTATTCAAGAACCAAAAACAGTGCTGAAAATTGGCTCCAAAACTATTATGGCTTATAACTTTTTATTCTACTTGACTGCAAATTCTTTAGTTCTCTTAACCAAACACAGAGTTAGTTAACTGGAAGAGTCTTGAACTTTTCCTTCAGTGAAGAAATAAAAGATTTCTCCATTTTCTAGATTAGTTATGTTAGAACCACTTTTAAAATCTTCATATATACAAAATATTTTTGTGAGTAGTGTACATTAACAGTGGTCTTTTATAAGTTGTTTGGAGATTTATAAGGTCTGATTATTTTAAAGTCAAAGGTTTCTAAACTTTACTCTGTACTTTATATTGTATCATTTCCATGATAGGAAATTGAGATCAAAACTGATTTTGTTGGCCCTTGCTGGGTGGCTCAGTTGGTTGGAACGTCATCCCATACATCAAAAAGTTACAGGTTTGATTCCAGGTCAGGGCACATACCTTGGTTGCAGGTTCAGTCCCTAGTCAGGGTGCTTACAGGAGGCAACCGATTGATGTTTCTTTCTCTCTCTCTCTCTCTCTCTTTTTCTCTCTCTGTAAAGATCAATTAAAAACATATCCTTGGGTGATTATTCTTAAAAAACTGATTTTGTTCATAAAATGCATAACCTATACCTGAAACTAATATGTTACATGTCAATTATATCATAAATTAATAAATACAGATGGGCTTGAAAGTTTGGAAAATTTAAGATTTTTGATACTCATCTGTCCAATCTTTCATTCAATAGCTATGTCCCCTATCAATAGAAGCATTTCTTAAAAATATTTAATTGTGGTAGTAAAATGGTTTAATTTGTATGTAAAGGTTAGCCAATAATCCCAATACTTTTTAAATAAAAGTTTAAACTAGAAAATGTAAAGAAACTGGTTGTTAAAGTTACCTAGGCCTTAGTATTAGACCACAAAAATGCAATACAATCTTCATTTGCCACGGAAATAAGAAATAAGTGGGAATATTAGTTATACTCATAAATTATATATATACATATATATATATTATACCTGGGCTCTTATACAAATTGATGAGAGGTCACAAAGTCCTTCTTGAAGCATTTTCCTTTCCTCATCAGAAGATATAGAATGTCTAAAAAGAAGAAACTAATAGTTATTGGACCCACTATCTGCCAGATATAAAATAAATGTTCTCTATGCATCAGATAATCTTCCCAACAACCACACTCATTTTACAGATGAGGAAACTGAGGCTCAAGCTAAGTAATTTGTCCAGAGTCACACCAATGACGGAGATGAGCGTAAAGGCCTATGAACCCAACTCCAAGGTCCATTTGTTCTTCTTGCCACATTATGCTTATTTATGGCCAATACCATTTTGGGTTTATGTTATTGTCTACTAGCTAGAATTCCTTTCTGGTTCTTCTCAGTTAATCCATCTCTTCCACTTCCTTCCAAGGTACACCTACTCCAAAAATTATGTTGTATTCTCTCAGCACTTTGTGTAAAAGCCTTTATTACAACACTTCAAGTTACAAGGTTTCACACAATATACATTTACATAACATTACCAATATTACCATCTATATTACAACAATGTAATCAGAAAATGATTTCATTGACACACTACAGTATGTTTCTCCCATTCTCCATTCTATACTCTCCTATCCTCTCTCACTTTAACAGAAACTGTTATTATCACTATCATTATCATTATTACTGTATATTACTAATTCATATCAACCAACCACGTTTTGCTCTCATGCTGTTCTTTGGATCCCCAAAATACTGTATCTTTTTCTGCTTTCAATCTGTTCAAATGTTCCCATACTCTCAATCTGCCTCTTTCCTTTCCAATAAAAAATTCTACCCCTGAATATTTTATAAAAGGTGTAAGACACTCTTGATTATTCATTTATTTATTTTTGCAACAAATATCTAAGTATTTATTATGTGCTAGAAACTAAGAACAGATAAACAAGATGGAGCTTATTTGTCTAAGAGCTTACAATCTAACACAAAAAGTAAACCAAAATTTGCAGCACAGATTTGTGCCATAATAAACGTATGTAAAAGTGATGTGAATACAAAGAATAAAGAGTAATAAGCTATCTGTGGAGGCAATAGTCCAGAAAGGCTTCCAACTGAAGGTGGCATATAAAATAAAATTTCATTGACAGAACATAGCAGAGAAATAACAATAGTAACCATCTGTTATTGAAATTTTTCTATGTGTGAAGCACTCAATACAATGCACGCTTAAAATGCATTATATAATTTCTTCACATATGTGGAAACTTCTGCTTCTGACCAAGATGGAGAAACAGGGACCGAATTTACCCTTCTGGCTTAAACAACTAAAAAAATGAACAAAATATATGAAAACAACAGTTAGCAGACAATGAACATCAGGTAATGAAGAATAGTGATTCCTGAGAAAGGAAAAATAAATGCATAAAGAGATTACTGACTGCAGTGTACAGAGGCAGAGCTTTATGGTCTCAGTGAATTAAGGAGATAAAGTTGGGAGTATAGGGAGGCCAAGGTGACTATAGTTCATAGGGCAGAGTAACAGAGGAGAGAGATCTGCACATAGACTTGCAGAGATCTGAACAATCCCTCACAAGAATTTAAGCAATTACTGATAAGCTAGCTCATGTATATAAGGAAACTAACCAAGGTCAGAGAAAGATATCCAAAAGCTTCAGAAAGAACAATCCCAGAACTCACATAAGGCCAGGAATAGTTTATTTTCCCATAACCAAAAATACAAAACTTCAAAACATAAGGGGCATTGGTGAAGACTCAAAACAGCATTGCCTTAGTAGTGGAGAAAATTAACCTTACACTAAAGGCTGTACTAGTTCCAATTGACAGAGCTTAAAAGCAAGCATTAAAAGGACCAAATGTGTGTATGGGGGGGAGGGGGGAAGATTGATCAAAAAAGAAAAAAAGAGAGAGAACTCATTGACATGGACAGCAGTGTGGTGATTGTAGGGAGGGGGTAAGGAGGATAGGTAGAGGTAGAAGAGGCTATGGGGGGGATAAATGGTGATGGAAAGAATTTAATTTAATCTAAAAAAGAAAATGAAACCCAAAGCAAGCAGAATGAAGTAAATAATAAAGATTAGAGCACAGATAAGCAAGAGAGAATTATCTATTCTATTCATAGAGATCATCAATGAAATAAGAAGTTGGTTCTTTAAAAAGACCAACAAAATTAACAAATTTTTAGGTAGAATTACTAAGAAAAAAAGGGATAAGACATAAACAAATAAAGCCAGAGGGGAAGGGGGTTGGGAGACTGGGTGAAAAGAAGACTGAGTGAGAGGTGAAGGGATTAAGAAGTACAATTTGGGAGTTACAAAATAGTCACCAGGATGTAAAGTACAGCATAGGGAATATAGTCAATAATACTGTGATAACTATGTATGGTTCCAGGTCGGTACTGGAAATATTGGGTGGAACACTTTGTAAAGTACATGATTGTCTAAACACTATGCTGTACACCTGAAACTAATACAAAATAATATTGAAAGTAAAAAAATAAAATAAAATCAGAAAAGGAAGNGTGGAGGTGGAAGAGGGCATAGAGGGGATAAATGGTAATGGAAAAAATAAAATAAAAATTGTTTCCAAGTATCTTAATTACATACCAGGAGGGGAGGGGGAACCTACAAAAGTATTTATAGAAATACAGAAATATTCAGCACTCAACAAGGTAAAATTCACAATTTTTGGCATCCAATAAAAAATTACCAGCCATGCAAAGAAGCAGAAAAATACAATCCATAATGAGGAGAAAAATCAATCAACTGAAACTGATCCACAAATGACACAGATAATAGAATGAGTAGACATGGGAATTAAAACATTTATTATAGTTATATTCTATTTGTTAATGGAATTAAAAGACTAAGTATAGATATTGGATATGTCACAGAGAGTCAAATTTAACTTCTAAAGATTTTTAAAAAATACAGTCTGAGATGAAAAATATATCGAGTGGAATTAAAAGCAAATAAGACATGTCAAACAAAGACAAGTGAACTTAAAGATTTATCAATAGAAACAATTAAAATAAAACAGTGGGGGGAAAATGAAAAAATGTGAACAGAATCACTGAACTATAAGACCACTTCAAGCTACATAACATATGTATAATTGGAATCCACACAAAAATAAGAGTAAACAAGTATCTGAGAAATAATGGTTGAAATTTTTCCAGATGTGACAAAAATTAAACCCACAGATGCAAGAACTTCAAAAATCCCCAAGCTCAAGAAACATTAAGAAAACTATATTAAGGCATAAAATAATCAAACTGCTTATAACCTGTGGAGAAAAATCATAAAAGCAGACAGAGGAAAATGATACATCATATTCTAGAAGAACATATATAAGAATTACAGCAGACTTATTTTTGAAAACAATTCAAGCAAAACGACATGGGTCTATCTACATCTTTAAATTATTGAACAAAAATTTATCTAGAATTTTATACTGGCAAAATAAAGATTTTGCAAAAATACAAAAGCTGAAGAAAATGTTAGCAGCTCATCAGCATACATATCCTCCAAGAAATGTTAAAGAGCTCCTTCAGGCAGAAGGTAATGTTACCAGGTGGAAATCTGAATCTACACAAAATGATAATTACCCTGAAAATGGTATATATGGAGAACTATAAAAGACTCTTTCTTTCTTTTTAAATCTCTTTAAAATATTATTGACTATTCAAAACAAAAATTATTATTTTTAGGTTTATAACATATGTAGAAGTAATGTGTATGACCAACAATAGGATAAAGGCTAGGAAAGAGAAATGAAAGTATGCTAGTGTAAGATTGCTATACCATATATAAAGTGAGATAATATTACTTGAAGTAAGACTATCATAAATTGTATAGTGTTGCTATAAATTGTAAATCAAGCAGTAAAATGTAATAAAACAAAAAATAGAAGTAATAAGCCAATAAAAGACAAAATAAAATCATAAAAATTCTTAATAAATTAAAAACAAAGCAAGAAAATGGAAAAGGGAATAATGAAGAGATGATACAAATAGAAAACAATAAGCAGATTCAACTACATCAGTAATCACATTAAATGTAAATGGTCTAAACACTCAATTTAAAAGAGAGAGATTGTCATACTGGAATGAAACACAAGGCTCAACTGCATGCAGTCTTTAAAAAAATCCACTTTAAAGATGAAGAAACAATATTTTAAAAGTGAAAACCTGGAAAATATATACCATGGGACCACTAATAAAAAGAAAGTAGCAGTGGCTATTAGACAAAGTAGATTACAGAGCAAAAAAATATTACTAAGGATAAAATGATTCTTGTATAATGATAAAGGGGTCAATTCATTAAGAGGACATAATGATCTTAAACATTTATTTACCTATTATTTACCTAGTTTCAAAATACAGGAAAGAAAAAACTAATAAAATTTCAAGAATTATTAGTTTTAAAAATCTCTCTTTCTCAGTTAATGATAGAACAAGTAGGCAAAAAATTAATAAGGATATAAAAGACCTAAACATCACTATCAACCAACTTTACCTAATTTACACTTATATAACTTGCCAGCCAACGAAAGATTTAGGAATTCAATAACAGAAAGATATCTGAAAAAAATCCCTAAATATTAAGAAATAAAATAATACTTATAAACAAACCCACTGATCAATGAAAAAATAAAAGTAAAATTAGAAACTATTTTGAACTGAATTAAAATGAAAACATCACATATCAAAATGTACGGGATGTAGCAAAGGAGTATTTAGAAGTAAATTTACAGCACTAACACCTATATTGAAAAACTGGGTCTTTGAAAATCAATAATCTCAGATTTCACTTTAAGAAATTAGAAAAATAAGAGCAAATCAAACTCAAAATACACTGAGGAAAACAAAAATAAAAACTGAAATCAGTAAAATAGAAAAGAAGTATTAAATTTTGATATGTTGTGTTTACATTCTCATCAAAAATAAAAATTGACATCACTCAAAATTATATTATCCTTCGATATTAAAACAATAGTAAGTAGATATTATAAACAACTCTATGCCAATAGATTCAACTACTTAGATGAAATGCCCTTAAATAAACTGTATAGTTAGATGAA